AGATGACGTCGTCCAGGCTGATCAGGGCGACTGTCCGGTTGGTGCGGAGCCGGCGGTCCAGGGTGGGGTCAGCGAGGGCGGGGTCGGTGGCTGGATGAGGGGACGAGGGGAGGAGAGAGGTGAAATTTAAAACCTACAGTCTAGTGTCCCCGTTGCTATACTGGGGCATCAGGCCCCACACTGACCGCAGGGTGAGCGCCCCCTGCTGGCCCCACTCACAGCTCTCCCAGGAGTCTCCCCTCCAGGTACTGGGCCCCAGTGGTCTGCCAGCTGGGAGCCGCGGGGTGAAGCCAGTTCCGGAGCGCTGAGCCACTCCAGCTCGTATTCAGTGGTGTTCCAGGGTGTGCCGAGGCGTGTGGAGGAACACAGGATGGCTGTACGGGTCGCAGGGAGGGGGGGGTACCGCCTTCCTCCTCGGGCCTGCGGACTGTCCCGCCCCCAGGGCCTCCTGAACTACACTTCCCAGCAGGCCCTGGGGGCAGACCGGTGGCCAACCGAGCGCCTGTCCCCGGGTTGAGGAGGCGCAGGTGCCGGCAGCTCGAACCCGCACAAAGGGGGTGCACAACGGGATGCACATCGCCCCCCCCGCCGGGCCGCGGCGGGGCCCCTCACCGGGCTGGTAGCCGTCGGTCAGGTGCGAGCCGAAGTTGTAGACCATGTCCAGGTGGCGGCGCTCCTGCAGGCTGTTGCCGGTGTCGCGGAAGGCGTCCTGCGCGATCTGGGTCAGCTGGCGCCGGCTCAGGCCCAGGCCGTGGCGCTCGTCGGCCCGCCTCACCACCCGCAGGATGTCGCTGTAGTCCGGGGGGCACAGCCGGGACTCCTGGGAGTTAATGAACTTGTCGATCTGAGCGGGAGGGAGAGGGGAGAGAGAGGAGTCTGTTACCATGGCATCGGTTTGATGCGGTAGTACCGTCGGTTACCATGGCGCCCATGTGATGAGGCAGTACAGCCAGTTACCATGACGCCCATGTGATGTGGTAGTACAGTCGGTTACCATGGCGCCCAT